CCCAGTTGGAGGTGGATTCCTGGGGGCCTGCCTTTGCCTTTCTTGCTCTGACTCTGTTCTCTCTCTGTTTCTGGCTCCATTAGCAAGTAATGAGGTGAGCAGCTCTCCTCTGCTATGCCTATTTGCTATGCTATTTCTTTCTTGGAGCCAGCTAACCATTAACTGAAACCTGTACCATGAGCCAAAATAAATCACAGTGGTGGTCGTATGTATCTCATATACAACTTAATGTCTTGTTTTTTTTTTTTTTTTTTTGTACTGGGGACTGAACTCGGGTCCTTGTGCTTGTGAGGCAGGTACTGGAACCACTAAGCTAAATCCCCAACCCCTACAACTTAATGTCAAATATCACATACATCTGTGAGACAGATGTTATAAGCAAACTGACATTTAAACATGGCTTAACATTAATCATGTACTTGATCACCTGATACATATAACTATTTAAGAAAAGACTTGTTTATATTTTTCAAATCTGCTATGACCTCCAAAGGGTTAAATTGCTAGTGTCAAGTATTTTCCCCCAGTGATGCAAAGCCTACTAACACTGAAATAGAGACTACAATGCAAAAGATCAATGAAACAAAGAGTTGGTGTTTTGCAGATAAAGTTGACATACTTTTAGCTGGATTAACCAAGAAAAAAACACAGCAGACCAAAATAAATAAAATCACATGAAAATGGAGACATTTACAACTGATACCACAGAAATACATAGGATCATTAGGGATTATTATGAAAAATCATATGCTAACAATAGGTAAATCTAAAAGAAATGAATAGATTTTTTGACACATGACCTACCAATCATCTACCAATATTGATCCATGAGAACATTAAAAAAATGCATAGACAATAACAAGTTATACGATGGAATTAGTAATAGTCTTCTAGCAAAGAAGCCTAGGACTGATTGAATTTTCAACAGTGAATTTGACCAGTCGTCACTTTTATTACTGTTTTGTGCTACTGGGGATTGAACCCAGGGCCTTCAAAATACTAAGGACATTCCTCACAAAACAATAAAAAAAATCCTAAAGTTTATATGGAATGCAAATGACTGTGTAGAAAAAAAAAGTCAAGCAAAAAGAAAAAAGCTAAAGGCATCATAATATGTGACTTCAAGTTGACATACTCACCAGTGTGGCAATGGAATAAAAACAGACTCATAGACCAATGGAACTCAAGAGATTCCAGAAGCAAACCCATGCATTTATAGTCAATGTTCTCAATGAGGGTACTAAAACATACTTTGGAGGAAGAACAACCTCTTCAACAAATGGTGTTGGGAAAACTAGGTATCCACATGCAGAAGACTGAAACATGACCCCATCTTTCATTCTATAGAAATATAAACTCAAGATGGATTAAAGCCCTAAATGTAAGATCTGAAACTTTTTTTTTTTTTGGAGACAGGTCTTGTTATGCAGTTAAGGCTGGCCTTGACTTACAGTTGTAGCCCAGGCTGGCCTCAAAATCACAGGGATTCTCCTGCCTCAGCCTCACAAGTGCTGGGATCACATACGCATGCACCCCCACATCCAGTAGACCTGAAACTTTGAAACTATTAAAAGAAGACATAGGGGAAGCACTTCAAAATGTTGGTATTGACAGTATTTTTTCTGGATAGGATTTCTAAAACACAAGAGGCAAAAGCAAAAATAGACAAATGTGATTATTCCAAACTAGAAAGCTTTTGTACAGAAAAGAAAACAGTCAACACAGTGCAGAGACAACTTACAGAATGGGAGAAGATATTTGCTAACAGAATTTGGCAGAGGGTTAACACCCAGAACATACAAGGATCTCAAAGCACTCAACAACAAAAAAATAAGTACCCAGCTTAACAAAATGGTTAAGTAACCTTAGTAGACGTTTCTGTAAGTAGATTAGTGATTTATAGAGATTGGGAAGGGTTTGTGCAGGGTGGAAAAAGTAAAGTTGGATTTGATCTTGGCATGCTACACACATGTATGAAAATGGCACATTGAATTCCATTAATATGTACAATTAATACTTGTTAATAGAACTTTTAAAAAATGACAGGAAAATGAAGATACAGAACATTTACAAATTGAATAAGGGAAAACCACCAGTTTGGAAAAGATTAATTCACTGAATAGAATATCTAAGATACCAATAAACTTATGAAATAATGCTTAGTCTTATTAGTAGCCAGATAAATGAGTTACCATTTTTTTTGGGGGGGTACCAGGGACCGAACTCAGGACCTTGTGCTTGAGAGGCAGGCAGCAGAACCACTGAGCTAAATTCGCGGCCCCTAGTTACTAATAGCTAGATAAAAATTAACAACAGCTACTGTTTCCATCACCGTGAAAGTATAGAGATAGGGCTGGAGCTGTAGCTCAGCAGCCCCGTGCCTGCCTGGCAGTGTGAATTCAATCCCCAGTTTAAAAAAAACCTAGGGATAACAGAATGCTCATTTTTATTTAGGAATGTGGTTATAAATTTTGGGAAAGGGCTAGGGTTGTAACTTGGTGGTAGAATAATTGCCTCTATATAATGTTCTGAGTTTGATTCCTAGCACTGCAAAGAAAAATAAAGAAATGTTTAGGAAAGTAAGTGGGTAATATCTGTTTTTTCTTTGATCTGGCATTTTCACTTTTATGAATCTATCCTAGAGTAGTAATAAAGTCTTTATCATGCACAGAGATATTTATTGCAGCATCAGTTGTCAATGGCAGCACCTCTTATCCAATGACAAAAAGTTGGAAACAAGCTAAATGTCCCTCTTTAAGGAAATGGTTGAATAAGCAGTAATTGAGTAAATTGAGTAATTGAGTAAAATTGTCTGAGATGGTGTCTGTTGATCTGAAGGTCCTTATGGTACATTGTTAGGTTAAAAAAAATCAAGTTATAGAGCTATGTGTATTTTTACCCCAATTAGAAAAAAAATTTCTACATCTATTTGTATATATCTTAGGTAAACATGGATTAAAATTTGGAAAATCAGGAAGTTAACATCATAAGTGTTTAATTTTAATAGAAATTTTAATAGAGATTTAAATAAAATGTTAAACCTGGGTCATAATATTTACAATCTGTAGTGTGGCATCTCTCAGGTTTGACTTTCCAGCTTAGACAGGTGCTCAGGCTTTGGATGATAATAGATGAGTTTCTTTATTCCTTGTAAATGTGCTTTTATTTCTATAAAACCATTACTGGAACTTCCCAGGTAGACTCTAGAAGTATTCATTGGTTTTCCTATTTCTAACTGTTCCGGAGGGTGACAGCAATAGAATTTCATCAGATAAACAAGTAAATATGTTGATTAGTTTTTCAGTTTATTCTTTTACCTTTTTGGTCCCTGAGTTTTCCTTTTATACCTTATTCCCTCTACCAGTTTCCTGAATTCATTTCACTAGCTCATTCTTTTTAACTTCCTTTTTTCTTGGGTCTTTGATGTACACACCTGTATCTTCAGGGAATAGTGAATAATTGTTTTAAATTGGATTATTTTTAAGTGGCCTTTCAAGAAAAGTTGACAGAATTTTTAGTTAGAGCTTGCTACTTCATAACTTACTTGAGTACAAATGTTTTGACATCAGGTTGAAAATTGTGGAGAAGATATAAGGTTTCTATAGATCCACCTTTTTAAAATCTGCATTTCCATGGGACAAACACAAGTTTTTCAGTCAGCTGAGCTGGGTTGCTAAAGTCTGCACAGTGCTTTTTATTATTATTAATTAATTGATTAATTAATTATTATTATTATTTTTTTGGTTTTTTTTGAGACAGGGTCTCACTGTATAGTTGAGACTGACCTGGAATTCACTATGTAGCCCAGGCTGGTCTCAAACGCACAGCGATCCTCCTGCCTCAGCCTCCCAGAGTGCTGGGATTACAGGCGTGCACCACCATGCCCGGCTGTACAGTGCTTTTTAGTAGTTTTCTCAACAGGATCTTTGCTTCTTAAAAGATACCTTCATTTGTCATAGCTTTCCAAAACCTACTAGTTAACTGTCAGATGGAACAAAGGAAGTTAAGAAAAAATTCCATGAGGGTTATGAAAGCCTTGTGTTCACAAATTTTCCATGATAGCGTATTGTGTCTAAGAGATCAGTCAAGTAAGCTAGGTAAAATCTAACTGTATATTCCAGAGACATAAAACTAATTTACAATAGGGGCTGGGGATTTAGCTCAGTGGTTCCACCACCAGCCTCGCAAGCACAAGTTCTTGAGTTCAATTCCCAGTATTAAACAAAACAAAACAAAACAAAACCCCCATAATCTACAGTATAAAAAGTTAAATATTTACCTTTTCTCCTCCTCTCTCTCCTATTTTTGGCAGTTCAGTCTTGCTAAATGTATGCAGACTGAGGATTGAAAGACTTGTAAAATTAACAAAAGCTTCGTGTCTGTGGAAAGGCTGTGAGTACACAATAGGGATAGCATGTTAGCTTGGATTGTACTGAAAGCTGTGGGGCTACTCTTGTAAGGTTGTAGTTGGATAGCTTGAAACATTTACAAAATATTTTATGATTTGGGAAGGGGCTAAAGTTTAAGTTCTTTTTTTTTAAAATTAAATTTCTTCAAAGAATCATAGTGTAGCAGTGTGAAAAATTTCCTTGGAAGACATCTAGTTACTTAAAAGAAATTTATACTTACTTTGTAGAATCCCAGATTGGGAAGGAACTATAAAGATAATTTCAGTTACTCAGTTGTTTCTAAGGGATATCTTCTGTAACATTCCTACTTGATCAATGCTAACGCAGAGGTCAAAGATTTGAAAAACTTGCAGTTTTGAGGAAAGGAAGGGCCTACAAAGTTAGGGCCATGGAGAATGTGGTTGCTAAAAAAACCAAGTACTTTGCATCACGATAGTGGGACAGATGGCTTGAGGGCATCTCAGAAATCAGCAAGACACTACCTTTTGGAGGATTAAAGGTACAAAATTGTAAAGCTATCATTTTAGAAAAGAACCCCTGGACTCTGTGTTCAAGAAGGGGATTGGTTCTTTGGAATTCTTTTCACAGACTTTAGGTATCCAGACTCTCAGAGTCCTGTGCAGCCATGGTCCAAGAGGGCTTGGTTACTGCTTCAACTGGCAGCAGCATCCATGTGGTGCTGGTTTTACAGATGTGCAGAGTGTAAGGGTTAATGGGGTTGGGGAAGTGACCAGGTAGATTTTAGAGGAAGACCTTGGAGGCGAGGCAATGTGGTCTTAGAGGGAAGTTCATGAAATTGAGAGTAGAGTTGAAAGTGCAGTGGAGACCCAGGAAGTTGGAGATATTATGAACATGGAACGTTTGCTGAGGAAAGCTGCAGGCAATGAATGGAGTCACTCCAAGAGTGAGGCTGTGAAGACTGGAACCAGTGAGTTTGTAGGGGTGCCTAAGCCCTTTGGAGTTTACATTTTACCATCACCTGCCTCAGGTACTTGACACAGAACTACTGATGTTTGCCATCTTCCTTTGCTAATTCCTTTCTGTTCACTTATTTCTCCTTTTTGGCATGGGAATGTTTACCACGTGCCATTGTCTATTAGATGTGTTTAATTTGTTTTTGCTTTTTTATAGGGCCTCACTGCTAAGAGTTTGTCTTGAGTCTCAGAGGAGTTTTTGAATTTAGACTTTTAGCAATGCTGAAACTGTGAAAACTTTGATAGTTCGTAGAGACGGACAAACTAAATGTATTTTGCATAATGAGATAAACATTAGTCTTTTAGGGGCCAGCTGCAGAAATGGGCTATGGGTTATGGGCTAAGGATTTTGCTCAGTGGCACAGCCTCTGCTTGGCAAGTGTGAGATCTGTATTTTGATCCCAGTACCCCCCCCCCAAAAGTCACAAAGCCTTATGTGTTTGGAAGTGATTGGATCGTATGGTGCTATACTCACTAGTGGATTTACTCACTGAGTACAATAGCTGAATGTGCCGTTAGGAGGTGGGGCCTGGCTGGAGATGCTTCACTGGGGGCATGGCCTGGAGTGTATATTTCCCTGTCTGACTCATCATTTTGTTCTTCCTGGCTGCCATAGGTTGAACATCTTTCTTCCGCCTTGCCTCTCTGCCCCCCTGTTCTGCCTTGAAACCAGACAACCATAGACTAGAGTTGTAAACTAAAACACACCTGTCCTTTAGGTTGTGGGTGTTGGAGGTTTTGTCCCAGTGATGAAAAAATGACTAAATCATTTCTTGTCCCACAAGCCAGCTTCTAGTTTTTGAGTGATTTTCTGTCACTTAGTTTCAAAAGCTATGGGATCTTCAGTTGTTTTGTTTTTTTTTCCTTACCCATATGCAGTCAGTTATCATGAAAGAGTGATTTTTAAAAAATAGATGTAGTTCTTCTATTTATTGCCCATCATTTACTCCAAATACCTCTTAACTAGATTTACTACTTATGGTGTTTCTTATTTGCAATCTGTTTTGCACAACCATAACATTAACATTGTAATGCAAACTTATTGTTCTCAAACACTCCAGAAAGCTCATAGCTTCTAAAAAGTAAAATATAAATTCAAGGTTGTTTCTCAAATCCCTTACATCATCCTTTTCAAAGTTAAATTAAACCTTAGAATGTCTCCCACAAGACTGTTGCAGCAGTAAAACTGCCTACTGTCACTAAAGCATGGCATGATAGCCTATAGCCTCCTTGCTTTCTACTATTTCACTGAACATATTATGATCTTATCCATCTTTTAACACATGTCAAATACTGTCATTCTCTTCCTTTGGAAGCTATCCTTTTTATTTTCCCATTCTAAGGTGTTTCCGAACTCTTACTATGTTGTCCATCTAAACTACTTGGAACGTTTTACGATTGACTTTAAAAATTTTTCATGCATATGTGTATTGCTATGCAGTGTTTCAAGATACCTAATTGCAGGGACTCTGACTTGAATTTTCTGTATGTGTCTTATTGCTGGTAGAGTATCTGGTAATCACGAAATCCATCATGAGGAATTTATTGGTTGGTTAAGCTAGAGATAGAATACTTGCCGAAGGAAATAATATATTTCTTTGATAAAAATGTTTTATTTTATAAAATACTCATTTTTTTCTCGACTGAATAATATATATATGGGCTTATAAAACAAACATTTGAAAGCCAAAATTATGACTGAAAAGTTTAAAAGTGGTGAAACTTCTGAAGAGTAGAAACTGCAGATTTATAAGATTAAATAGGTTTTATAATAGAGCAACGGCTGGGACATGGCTCATATCTGGAGATATGGGAATCATAATGATCAGCTCTTTTATGGGCCTTTTATTTACTCATACTCTTCCACCTTTTTGTTCTTCCTTCCTTTACTTGCCTTTGCCTTTTACTGGGGGTTTTTTACCCTTGGCTTCTGGTTCTTTTTTTTCTTTGTCTTTTCCTTCATCACCTTTCTTGTTTTTAGCATCTTTTTCTTTTTTACTTTGAGTTGTCTTTGCATCTGTCTTTTCTTTGCCCTCCTTTCCTTTATCCTCAGATCCTTCTTTATCTTCCTTTTCTTGGGCTTTCTTTCCTTTTGGTGTTTTTTCATCAGTTTTCTTTTCTTTGGCTTTTTGCCTTTTGATGTTTCTTCCTCACTTTTCTTTTCTTGGGCTTTCCCTCCTTTTGGCATTTCTTCCTCACTTTTCTTTTCTTGAGCTTTCTCTCCTTTTGCTCCTTCTGCCTTTTTTTTCTTTTCTTGAGCTTCCTTTCCTTTTGGTGTTTCTGCTTCAGTTTGCTCTTCTTGGGCTTTAGACTCTTTTGATACTTTCATCTCACTCTTTACTTGGGATTCCTGGGCGTTTGGTACTTTCTCCTCACTCTTTTGTATCAGAGATTCCTGTGCTGTGGGTTCTATTAGATCACTTTTCTTTTCCTGGGCTTCAGGTTCCTTTGGTATTTCTATCTTACTTTTTACTTGGGATTCCTGGGCTTTTGGTATTTGCTCTTCACTCTTTTGTATCTGAGATTCCTGCCTTGTGGGTACTGCGACAGCACTTTTTTTCCTTTGGGGCTCAGGTGCTTTTGTTACTCCCATCTCACTCTTTATTTGGGCTTCCTGTTCTTTTACTATTTCAGCTTCTCTCTTTTCCTTGACCTCCATTCCTATCTTGTCATTCTCCAGCTCAATGACTTTTGCTTTTCTTCTTGGCTCCTTTTTGTGTGTTGCTATAAAAGATTCATCAGAATCTATAAATACTTTCTTCTTCAGTGATTCCCCGCTTTCTGTCATTTCTCCATGTTTTGGAAGTTGTGCTTTGAAATCTGATTTTTTTGTAAGTCCTTCATCCACGTAGCCTGGAATTATAACTGAATATACAACAAAAGTGCGTGATTCAGGTATAAAGTATTTTTACTTTATCCTTATTTTTCTCTTGATATTGTTTTCCCTTTTTTGTCTTAAAACTGGCAAAGTAAATTTAAATTGAGATTTTCCTCAAAAATATAAATGGTGGAATCACATAATATTACAGAATTATTGATAAGAGTTCTAGACTTGAATAAATTGGAAGACTAAAGAGAAAAGGTAAAATGTAATATTAATGAACTGGCATTTGTTTGGATTATGACTACTGAATAGTGCTTAGGGACTAATTCAGAATCTATCCTTAAAAACTTTTAAAGGAAAAATTGTGGGAAGAAGCAATAATTATTTCTTAAGACAGAAAAAATTGAACTCAAACATGTTTTCCTTATTGAATAAAAGCATATTTCAGCATGCAAAAGCAATAATAGTACAAGCTAATAATTATGAAGTACTTACCCTATACCAAGCACTCACTTCTATGAGCATTTTACATATGAAATAACTTAATCTTCATAACCATGTAGGGTAGTTACTGTTATTATTCCAATTTTACAGGTGAAGAAAGTGAGACAGTGAATTGGATGAATGTAAACAGATCATATAATTAGTGGGTGGTGGAGCTGGGAATTACACCTGTGTAATAAAACTCCAGAGTTCTTTTTTAGCCATCACTTTAGTCTGATTCTTGTAATATCTGTGAGCTCACTTTGCCAAACTCTCAGATTTGTCTTATAATGTGAAGGTAAATCACCTCTGCTACATATCAATTTCTGTGTGATCTAATAAACTTGAATCTGTTAGCTTTTGATAGGTATTTTTTTTTTTTTAGTTTTTTTCTCTTTAAGTGATTTGGTTCCCTGAATTAAGTAAGAAATATTTAGGCTCCTAAGGTGAATTGTGTGGATTTTTTGTTGTGCAGCAGACACGTTTTGCTTTGAAAAAAACCTAATATTTTATATAGTAGAAAGATTACTGAATTTAAGAGCTGAATAGAAACCTGGTTTCACTATCCCCTATTAGCCCAGTTTATTTGGGTAAATTAATGAATCCACAGAAACTCATTTTCCTTACATTTAGTCTGCTGTGCTCACTTTTTAAAAGTTATTGAGTTTTGATAAATGATAAAGGAACATAGCCTTTGGAGACAGATATTAAAATCCTGGCTCCATTGGATGACTTTGGGCAAACTTCGCTTTCTTATCTGTAAAATGGGAGCAGCAGTAGTTGTTATCTTGCAGAGGTGTTATGATTAAATAATGTTACTTAAGTAAGTAAAACACTTAGTAAAGTGCATGGATCATAGTAAGTACTTAGTCAAAAAACATTGGCTAGTACTCCTACCAAATGAGATGTGCAAAAACTCTCTGATTTAATATAGATCATTAGTTCTCAACAAATAATTTAGAGGAGTTGTTAGTTGCATTACAGCCAGATTTGTTGCTGAAAAATTAATTTTTGGATTTTTTAAATATTGAAAATTTCCGGCTGGGCATGGTGATGCATGCCTGTAATCCCAGCACTCAGAAGGCTGAGGCAGGAGGATCGCTGTGAGTTTGAGACCAGCCTGGGTTACATAGTGAGCTCCAGGTCAATCTCATAGTGAGACCCTGTCTTAAAAAAAAAAAATCTCCTGATACATTTATACAGGTTGATGTTTGATGTTTGAAAAATTGACATTCATATAACTTTAGAATTTTATATAAAATGAGACATACCTGTGTTAGGTAAAGAAATTAACTATAAATCAAAAGTGATTTTATAGTTTAACGTTTTCTATTTCCTATTTTAAGCTTTTTTTTTTTGGTTCCAGGAATCGAACTTAGGACCTTGTGCTTGTGAGGCAGGCAGCAGCACCACTGTGCTAAATCCCTGGCCCTTATTTTAAACTTTTGACATCAAAATAAACATAACATTAAGAGACTTGCAGTAATGTTCTCTGAACTCTTTTATGAATTTCCTCCCCTAATAATTTTTGTTAAGATATTGAGAAATGATGTTTTATTGAAGGTAAATTAATTTGCAAGTTTCTGGTGAAAATTAGTGGCACTTCATCTGGGGATGCAGCTCAGTAGTGCTGCTCTTGCCTAGCAAGCAAGCACAAAGTCCTGAGTTCAATTCCAGGTACTGAAAAAAAAATTAGTGGCAATATATTCCAAACAATGATGAATTAAATAAGATAGTCTAGAATATTGTGCTCTCAGTTGTGTGGTTTTGGCTAGGGGTGTGGTAGGTGCAGGCTGGTGGAGAGAAGAGTATGTTTTTCCATGGATGCTTTTAACCTTGATTCATATAGAATGTACTTCTCAAACAAGATGATATTTTTAAAATGTAGGGATACTTCTAGTTCTACCCTTTCTTAGGAAGTAATTATTTACTACTGTTTAAATAATGCATGACCCACTTTTAATCAAAACTTTGCCTTTTAACTTGTATAGATTTTGTTAATAAGAATTAAGTATTCTGAGGTTTAATGAAACAGGTTTTTTTATTCTACTTATCCTTTCCTAATTTCATAAAATTAAAAGTTATTTTCCTCATTGCACTTAAAAACACCTTATCACTTTTAATATCTTTTACCTCTGATTATTTTAATATCTTTTCTATCTTGAACTTAAGTAACAAAAATTAGATTTCTTAGCATTTATTTTCAGGAAGCTGCTGTCCCATAAAATAAGGTCCACTTTTATTTCAACTTTTCTTTGCAGAAACAAGCAATAGATCATTACTCTACCATATTCTAAGCTAATATCTTCTTCTAGATTTATTTTTGGTACTGGGGATCAAACTCAGGACCTTGTGCTTGCCAGGCAGGCACAGTGCCACTGAGCTACATCCCCGGTCCTAGATTTTAAGATAGTACATAAATCTTTTCTTTTCTTTGGATCTCATGATCATCCTATACTTATAGTGTAAACATAAAGCCCATTTATTATAGGCAGTAGCCCCTACAACAAAATTCTATGTAATCAAGACTTTAATCAAGACTTTTGGGATCACTGTAATTTATTCAGGCTGATTAAAATTAATGATTACAAATTTTAAATTGTATTAGTTTTTGCTGACTATGAAAGATATAATGAAATAGCTATCACATTAATAATTCTCACTTGTTATACTTAATGTAGAAAATAGAACATGGTCTTTAGTAGGAAACTAATCTTAGGTTCTTAATTCAGTGGTCAACAGGGAGTGCACAGGCAGATCTAGACTCTAAAACAAATCTGTTAAGCATCAGAAAGATGAATCATTAAGTTTTCAAGCCATTGATAACGTTTTTTTTTTTTTTTTTTTTTTTTTTTTTTTTTTTGGTACCAAGGATTGAACTCGGGCCCTTGCACTTGCAAGGTAGGCCACCAAACTACTGAGCTAAATCCCTGGCCATTGATTATGTTTTAAAGGATCACATACTTAGCTTAATGTAGAGGTGAGAAGAGACTCGAAAGGATGATAATATTTTATGGTCTAGTTTGTTTCAAATTTCTTGAATTTGTATTGAATCATACACATACTGCATCACTAAGAATATACATTTTGTAAGAAAATATTTGAAAAGAATGGATTGAAGCCAAGTATGGTGGCCAGCATATGTAATCCTAGCAGTCTGTGAGACTGAAGAAAGTGGATGGCAATTTTGAGTTGTCACTTAGCAAGACCTTGTTTCAAAATATAATATAAAGATAGCGCTGGAGATGTAGCTCACTGTGAAGGGTTCCATGCTCAGTATGGGAGGGTGAGAAAGATCAAATTGATTTTTTTTCTGGCAACTTTAAAAAATATATTTACTAAAAAGTAATCTCCAGAAAAAAAATCTTGACTTGTGATCCCTTCACATAGCCGTGTTATCATTCAGGGTTCTTCTGAGTGAAGTTGATGTATAAAGTTAACCACAGACAATGCTTGCTCTCTGTCTCTGTCTCTCTCTCTCTCTCTGGTACTAGGCATCAAACTCAGGACCTTGTGCTTGTGAAGCAAGCGGCAGAACCACTGAGCTTAATCCCCAGCCCCGATGCATTCTTTTTATAAGGAAAACATATAATAAGAATATTGTCCTGTCACTTTCCTTGTGTGGGGATGGCGTTTTAGGGATGTAGGCACAGAAAGACTACTGTGAATGCACAGTTTTTTGTACCAAGAGTCAAAAGAAAATGTTAGCCTTTTTCAGCTTCATCTTTCTGCCCTCTCCTCTCCTCAACCCAGTCTCTTTCTAGAAAGAACAAAGTTTTAACATGTTTAAATATTAAGTATCTATTTTTGGAAATATTGCTCTATTTTGTAAGTGGCTTGAATGTTTTAAATTCTTGAAATATGTCTCATTAAATTTATCTAGGGTTGGGGATGTAGCTCAGAGGTACTGTGCCTACCTGGCAAGTATGAGGTCCTAAGTTTGATCCCTGGTACCAAAAAAATTATTTCCTATTTTTTTCTTCTTTTTATTTTTTGTGGTTCTGAGGATTGAGCCCAGGCCTCACATATGCTAGACAGGTGCTCCAAAACTGAGTTCATAGGAGGTGCTCAATACATACTATCCCTCAAAGGTAAATATATATATTTAGAAAGCAAGAGAAAGTCACTGAGGTTTGGTTATTAACTATTTTCCCTATGAATATGATTCAGACGCTCTTTACTTATAACTGAAAAAGAGTTCTAAGTTCCAACTAAAGAACTAATGGAATTCAGAAACCAGTCTTCTTTTGCTTTATTTTGCCGGGAGTCATTGAGGAGGTTCTTTTTCAGAACCTACAAGATAGTCAGAGATTGTGGCTTCCTTTCTTATTAACTTTATCTCCATAGACTGATATTTTCCAAAATAGATATTTAACATCTTAGAAGACTTTGGAAAATAAGAACATTTAAAATGACCTTAGAGCCGGGCATGGTGCACACACCTGTAATCCCAGCATTCTGGAGGCTGAGGCAGGAGGATCTCTGTGAGTTCGAGACCAGCCTGGGCTACATAGTGAGTTCCAGGTCAGTCTCAACTACATAGTGAGACCCTGTCTCAAAAAATGAAACAAAACAAAACAAAACAAAATGACCTTAGAAGTACAAGGCTCTTATTTTGGAGTAGAAACAGCCATGCCAGAAAATGATGATAAGGCAAAATGTCAGAGGTGAGAGTAGGTAAGTAGCTCATCCAGAGGACATAGTGCTAAAAATAAAACAAAAAGAAAGATCTGTAAGGATTTTCTAACTCAAAGAGTACCTATGTTCCAGTGATATCCTTTCTAGGTAAAGTCAGAAACAAACTCCAGAGAGTATAAAATCTTCAGGACTGCTGCTAACCAAAGTTCAGCATCCAGTTTCACTGAGAGGGTTATTTTATGCCATTTAATGCCATTTAGTTAATAAAAAGATTTTAATCTTTGTGTTAGTAATAATTACACCAAAATTCAAACTATTGCATTTCCTGCCTTCTTGACTTTCTGCCATTTCCTGGTCCTGTAAAAAAATGTGTCTTGGAAGTTCCATTTTATTTTGTTTTTGTTTTTGTTTTGAGACAGGGTCTCACTATGTGGTTGAGACTGACCTGGAACTCACTATGTAGCCCAGGCTGGTCTCGAACTCACATTGATCCTCCTGCCTCAGCCTCCCGAGTGTTGGGATTACAGGCGTGTGCCACCACGCCTGGCTGGTTCCATCTTATTTTGACACTTATTCTTTGACAGTCTTAGAGAATTTTCTTTTTTAATAAAAATTGTCAGTTGACAGAGTATAGCACAGAGAAAATAGGCTCTGTTGTAATAGACTGGCTGGGAGTACATGCTTATGGGAGTACATGGGAATAGTCTTTGGTAATAGAATAAAATACAAGGCCATTGTACTTTGCTATGAAAGGAAAATAGATAAGTGGAAATCAAAACAAAAATATGAGGAAACCACATAAAAATAGTGGCTATTTTAAGGTAGAAGGACTTGTAATTCAAGCAAATTTGGTAACAAAACCTCAAAAGTCCTAATTACAGTAGCAGGTAAGGCACAGAAATGCTCCAAACTTACCGATTTTTCCAAAGGTGTCCACTGAAATAGACAAAGGCAAACACATCAGTAGGTATTGCGCTTTCCCTTTCCCCCGATACCCAACCCTCTTCATTGGATGGAATCTGTGTCATTAAATCTGTGTTAAATTTAGGGAACCTTCATTTCCCTTCCTCCTCTCTGTGTGCTTTAATGTAGAAAGACCTTGTGCTAAACTATTTCAAATGGCCTTTACTTTTTTAAACATTAATTTTACTGGTACATTTAAGGTATACAATATAGTGACATTCATCATTGGAAATTTGCACCTTTGCATAATCCATCTTGGTTCTTATATTTTCCCCATTCCCCTGCCCTCCATTCACCCCCTCCAGCCCTCCCTATCCGCAAAGACTTCACTTTCTATTTTTTCTTTTTCTCATATTAATTCCAGTCCCTTCTTTCGTTTCCCCTGCTGCTCCCACTTCCTCTTCCCCTTTGCACCTTTTCTTCCTATGGCCTTTACTTCTCATTAGTAACTAGCAATTCCATTACAAATTCAAGATGGGTGTGGTGCCGCACATCTATAATAGCATTTTGGGAAGTTGAGACAGGAGGATCATAAGTTCAAGCGGAGCCTACACAATGTAGGGAGACCTTGTCTCAAAAAAATAAAAAACTGGGGGTGTAGCTTGGTGTGAAGGCCCTGGGTTCAACTTAGTAGTGGAAAAAAATTATAATTTATAGAATATGGGATATTTAATGGCCTTAGGAGGAATATGCTAAAGTATGTATTCATTTGATATAACTTTTTTAAGGCAAAGTTGTTGCCAAGTACTGAAATTTGGGTTTGTCTCTTACGTTAATGTTACTTAATACATCTAACATAAAAAATAATATAAAAGCATGAGATGTGAGAGACACAATAACAAGACTGTTTACCAGAGTTGGAAATATGAACATGGATTATTTATTTATCTCTCATTGAGTTTATTGATACATTTTAGGTATACAGTACAGTTACATTCATCATTGGGATCTTGTACCTTTACATGGCAGGTCTTGGTTCTCATTTTTTCCCTTTTCCCTTCCCTCCCTTCATCCCCTCCTCCCCTCCCCTCCCCATTTAGAAAGACTTTATTTCCATTTTCTCATTTTTTTCTTTTCCCTTAGTACCTTTCCCCTACCCTTGCCAGTTGCCCTACACTGTTAGCCCTTTTCTTCCTATTTCAAATTGTTAATTATATCCTTAGGATCTTATGTACTATTATAGTTTTTCACACCAGAGAAATTATTCGGTATTTACACATGTGTGACTTATTTATTTCACTTAGGAGTATATCCTCAATATGTATCCATTTTCCTATGAATGAATCTAATTTCTCATTCTTTATGGCTGAATAGTATTCCATTTAATAGAAAAACTACATCTTTATCCAGTCTCCAACTGATGGGCAAATGGGCTGATTCCAAGTTTTAGCTATCACAAACTGTGCCACTATAAACATAGGTGCACATATATCACTGTAATATGATTCTTTTAATTCTTTTGGAAAAATACCCAGCAGAGAGATGGCTGGGTCAAATGGAACCTCTAGTCCCAGCTCTTTGAGGTATCTCCGTATTGATTTCCATAGTGGTTGCACCAGTCTGCACTCCCACCAACAATGGAGAAGGGTTCCTTTCTCCCCACAGCCGTGCCAACATTTGTTATTGTGTGATTTCTTGATAGCAGCCATTCTTTGTGGGGTGAGGTGGAATCTCAGTGTTGTCTTCATCTGCATCTCTCTAATGACCAGTGATGTGGAGCATTTTTTCATATAGTTACTTGCTGCTTTTACTTCTTTGTCTGAGAAATGTCTATTAATTTCAGATGTCCATTTTTGAATCGGGTCTTTATATTTGGGGGGGTGATTGTTTTGAGTTCTTTATATATTCTAGATAAGAGTCCTTTGTCTGAGGAGCAGTAGGTAAAATTTTTTTCCCACATTGTAGGTTGTCTTTTAGTTCTGTTGATGGATTCTTTTGCAGTGCAGAAGCTTTTAAGTAAGATGAGATCCCAGTTGTTGATTCTTTCTGCTAGTTCCTGTGCTACTGAGGATTTGTTCAGAAAGTCTTTTCCTGTGCCAATGTCTTCCAGAGTTCTGCCTAACTTATCTTCCAGCAAGTTGAGTGTTTCTTTTTAAATATTTAGATCTGTAATCTACTTGGATTTTAGTTTAGTGCATGGTGAAAGATAAGGGTCTAGTTTTAATCTTTGGCAGGTTGATATCCAGTTTTTCCAATACCATTTATTAAAGATACTATCTTGCCTCCAGTGAGGATGATAGGTTCTTTTGTCAAAGATGAGGTAGCTGAGTACATCTGGAGTTGTTTTTGTATCTTTCAATCTGTTCCACTGATCCTCAGGTCTGCTTCTTTTCCAGTACCATGCTGTTTTTATCACAGTGGCTTTGTAGTATAGCTTCAAATTGGGAATTGTTATACCTGATGCCATGTCTTTGTTGCCTAGTATGGCTTTTGCTATTCTAGGTCTCTTCTGGTTCCAAATGAACTTTTGGATTATTTTTTCTAGTTCTGTGAAATATAGTGTTGGAATTTCAATTGGTATTGCATTGAATCTGTATAGCAGCTTTGGTAGTATAGCCATTTTCACTATATTGATTCTTCCTACCCAGGACCAGGGGATATCTTACCATTTTCTTATATCCTCTTCAATCTCTTTTTTCAGAGTGCTGTAGTTTTCAGTGCAGAGGTCTTTTACTTCTTTTGTTAGATTGATTCCTAGATACTTCATTTTTTTGGATGCTATTGTGAAAGGAATTGTGCCCCTGATTTCTGTCTCAGTGAGTCTGCTATTTATGTACAAGAAGGCTATTGATTTTTGAGTGCTGACCTTGTATCCAGCTACTCTGCTAAAAGTGTCAATTAAGTCAAGAAGTCTTTTGGTGGAGTTTTTTGGGTCTTCAATGTAGAGTATCATATCATTAGCAAATAATGACAGTATAACTTCTTCCTTTCCTATCTTTATTGCTTTAATTTCTTTCTCTTGTCTAATTGCTATGGCTAATATTTCCAGAACTATATTGAAGAGGAGTGGTGATAGTGGGCATCCTTGTCTTGTTCCTGATTTTAATGTGAAGATTTTCAGTTTTTGGCCATTTAATATGATGTTGGCTGTGGGTTTTTCATAGATAGCATTTATTAAGTTGAGAATAGACCATCTATTCCAATTTTTTGCAGAGTTTTTATCATGAATGGGTGTTGTATTTTGTCAAATGTTTTTTCTGCATCTATCGAGAGGATCATGTGGTTCTTGTCCTTGACTTTGTTAATATAGTGTATTACATTAATTGATTTATGTATGTTGAACCATCCTTGCATCCCTGGAATAAATCCGACTTGGTCGGGATGTATGATCTTCTTGATGATCCTCTGTATTCTGTTTGCTAGTATCTTATTGAGGATTTTTGCATCTATATTCATTAAGGAGATTGGCCTTTAGTTCTCTTTTTTAGTTACATCTTTCCCAGGTTTGGGAATCAAAGGGATATTTGCTTCCAGGAATGAATTTGGAAGTATTGCTTCTCTTTCAATTTCGTTGAAAAGTCTGAAGACCCAATCACTCTTAAATGGTCTATTTACTAATAAAAAGTCACCCAATGGGACAGTCATGCATGTACCACACATGTTAAGGATTCTAGGATTTTTGGAATTGTAAATGAGCATTAGCTTCAATTTAAAATCACAAGTTATATTACCTCAAAACCAGAAAGTCATCCTTTTGAAGCTACACATGGGCTTCTTCTAACTCTGAAGTCTTAGGTGGCATCTTCTTTCAATATAATGTTTTTCTTGGCATGGAGTCTACATTACAAATCTATTGTTTAGTGTTATGGCTTGTATCTAGACATCCCCCAAAGTCTCAGGTGCTCATAGAGTGTGACTTGCTCTAGGATGTATGATGCTAGGATTAAGGGTGAATGATATATGGATTCGTCCCTCAGTTAGATTAGCATAGTTCTGGGTGTGGCTGAGTGGATTTAGTAAGAGGGAAGCCCCACCCTGGGTGTGGGTGACATCAATTGATAGGCTTGTAGCCTGGCTGGAATATAAATTGACAACAAGAAGGCAGGCTCACTGCTGCTGCTGCTTCCTGCCTGCCCTGCCATGGACTGTTTCTCCTCTGCCAGGCCACCCTGCCTTGGAGCCAGCTGACTATGGACTGAAACCTCTACAAACTGTGAAATGAAATAAACCTTTCCTTCTTTAACTTGTGGGTATCAGATATTCTGTCCCAACAATCATAAAATTAACTAAGACACTATTGTCACTTTCATCAATGATCTTAGCTAGATCTTCTGGATAACTCACTGTAGCTTCTACAGTAGAATTTCCTGCTTTTCTTTGTATTTTTATGTTTTGGACATAGTTTCTTTCTTTAAACCTTATGTAGCAATCTTGCTAGCTTCAAGGTTTTCTTCTGCAGCTTCTTCATTCCTGTCAGCCTTCATAGAACTGAACAGAGTTAGAGCCTTGGTTTGGATTAGGCTTTAGTTTCAGGGAAGGTTGTGGCTGGTTTGATCTTCTTTTCAGACCACTAAAACTTTCTCCATCTCAGGAGCAGTACTCTTTTGCTTCTGTTCATTTGAGTATTCACCGGAATGGTACTTTTAATTTCCTTCAAGACTGTTTTATTTGAGTCCATATCTTGGCCATTTGACTAAGGGGCCTAACTTTCAATCTGTCTTGATTAAGACATACGTTCCTCAATAATCATGTTGCACCTGTGATTTAAAATGAGAGACACACGACTCTTCACTTAATACTTGGAGGCCACTGTAAGGTTATTAACTGGCCTAATTTCAGTATTGCTGTGTGTGTTAACTACTTTTCTCTCATTGCTGAGACAAAATACCCAACTCCCAGAGTTAAAGGGGAAAGGGTATTTTTACAGTATGAAGAGGTTTCAGTCCAAAATTAGCTGGCTTCAAAGCAGAGTGGCAGAAGATAGCAAAAGCAATGAGACCATAACAGCATCTTTCTGTCCCTTTTGTCTTATTCAGACTACTTAACGAGGGAAGCAGTCATGTCCTTAATCCTAGTGAACATGAATCAGTCATACCCTAGATTCAGCCACCTCTGAAAAAGCATGAGGCTTGGGGGGCGGAATCTAATCACAATCCATAACATGGTTTCTGAAGGAATAGTGGGGCTTGAGGACAGGAAGACACAGGGAGCTAGCTGGTCAGTGGAATAGTCAGAGCACATATATTTTTTGATTGCCATCTAATATTCATAGAGTTTATGGTGTCTTAAAATAATTACAGTAGTAAAGATCATTGATGTGGGTCACCATGACAGATATAATAATAACGAAAAAGTTTGAAGTATTTTGAGAATTAGCACATTATGACCCAGAGACACAGTGTGTACAAGTGGAACTGATAGACCTGCTTGATGAAAAGTTGCCATAAATCTTTAATTTATATGAAAAAAAGCAGTATCTGTGAAACATGCAACCTATGTATACTTGCTTACTTGCTTTCTTGCTTTCCTTAAATATTCTGGAAATCTCAGAGTGGCTTATTTTCTCCTCTGAAATATTTCCCTTTCATATCTCATAGCTAATTCTCTTACCTTTCATGTATCATCTAAGTTCTGTCAATTACTGAGAATGGAGTGTTGAATTTCTTAATTATAATTGAGAGTTTTTCTTTTTAGTCCTGTTATGTTTTGTTTGTCATATACTGTGTTTGAAGCATGGCTGTTTAGTGAACATACATAGATTATTATTATTATTTTTGGTACTATCAGGTATTGAACCCAAGGCCTTTGGACTAAGCAACACCCATAGCACTTTTTAAAATTTTCTTTCTTTCCTTTTTTTTTTTTTGGTACCGGGGATCAAACTTGGGTCCTTGCGCTTGCCAGGCAGGCAGTGGAACCACTGAGCCAAATCCCCGGCCCACTTTTTTAACCTTTTATTTTGAGATGGGGTCTTGATAAGTCGCTAAATTGCCGAGATGAGGCTCAAACTTTCTGTCTTCCTGCCTCAACTTCCAAGAATCCTGGGATTACAGGTATGTGACACCATACCCAAAGAGTTATGCTTTTAATGTACTTTGTTAATTTTTGCTTTTAATGAATATATTTACTGTTTTTACTCAAGTGAAATCATAAATAAATTTGTGTAGTTTGCCAGAGAATGTTATGAAAGGCAGGTCTCAAATTATTTCAGTGAAGGAGAGTTAGTAAAGGCTTCTTCTCTGCAGTGACAGTGGTCCAATATTAGATGTCAGAAACTTTAATAGGGCTGGGGATTTAGCTCAGTGGTTCTACCGCCTGCCTGGCAAGCACAACGACCTGAGTTTGATCCCTGGTACCAAACAAAAACAAAAAAAACTATTAAAGAAAGAACAAAGATCAGCCTTTATCTTTTATCTTTAATTTTATTTTAGTGCTTTCTCTGTTTTCTTTGCAGTATGTCCCTCATATTCTCATTTGCTACATCTAATTTTATTATTTCTACCTTTTATCTTTGGGAAATTTGTTTTGTGACCCTATAGTTTCAGGCTAAAATATAAAGTTTTTATGTTGTTTCAATGATCTTTCCTGTGACTGACTCCAACATATTTTACCAGTATGGTTTTCCTTTTTTTCCCTCTTTTGTAACATATCTATCTCTAACCAAAGGAACAGTCCCCCTTCCTTTGTCTTTTCTATGTGGTTTCCTATTTTTATGGGCCTTTGATTCATCAAACAAAAACTAAAACCAAATCAACCAACCACCTACCCACACACCCATCCAATTCTACCACCAATACCACCAACAACCAAAATAACTCTTTGTAACATAAAGGAATATAAGAAAATATGGAGGAAAAGAGATGGAAAATAATTTGATTCTCAGGGTCCATGGTGAGATGTCAGAAGTGTAAGGGCAAAAGAAGGAGCCCAGATGCTACACAAAACTAGATGAGATTGAGAAAGATAGTAGGCACTTACAGGCTGCTACTGGAGCAATTGCGAAAAAGAAGAGTAAAAACAAATTAGTTTTTTGTGTTTTAAAGAAAAATTATGTACTGGTTTCCCATTGAACATTCTCTTAGAATACCATAGAAAGAACTTTTAGGAAACATTAAATCTTTGAAGAATATGCTATTCCTCACTGTCAATTTTCTCTACTTTAATAACTTAAATAACCAATTTATTTATTAATTTATAGCTTAATGGGTTTCAGGAAAGGAACTTTGTGAAAAAAGTGAACTCTTTCTGCTTCCTGGCTGCCATGAGGTGACTATCTCTCCTCTACAATGAACTTTCTTTTTTTTTTTCCTCTCATTGAGTTTATTGGTACATTTTAGGTACACAGTACAGTTACATTCATCATTGGGATCTTGTACCTTTACATGACAGGTGTTGGTTCTCATTTTTTCCGCTTGTCCCTGCCCTCCCTTCACCCCCTGCTACCCTCCCTATTTACAAACACTTTATTTCCATTTATTCATTTTCTCATATTTTTTTATTTTCCTTTCTTACCTTTCCCCTACCCTTCCCACTTTCCCTACACCTTTAGCCCTTTTCTTCTACAATGATCTTTCACTATGATTTACTGCCTCTCCACAGGACTAAAAACAATCAGATCAAGCAACCATGAACTGAAACCCATGAAACTATGAACAAAAATAAATATTTCCTCCTTTTAAAATTGGTTTCCTCATATATTTTGCCACAGTGATAGAGAACTCTCTAATACTATAGATTTTTAATGTCTCATGTTATGACAGGAAGAAGTATTGATTTTTATGTTTTAATTTTGCTGAGATCTCTAAATATACTTACCTTGATCATCATATGACATCTCTGGAGAATTGAAGAAAAAATAAGATTTTTAGTTTTTTTAAGTAGACTTATGTATTAATTTCTTAACAATCCAATATCTGATTTATTTACCACTTTCTGTTGAATATGAATGTTGGAATCCTAAAAGATAAAAAAATAATGAGATTCAGCCTTGAAAATCATGTCTACATTGCTTTCTTACTAGATGAAAATCTGTTTACCCCAGGGGGCCAGGGATTTAGCTCAGTGGTTCTGGTGCCTGTCTGGCATGCATAAGGGCCTGAGTTCAGTCGCCAGTCCAAAAAAAAAAAAAAAAAAAAAAAAAATCTGTTTACCTCTTCCTCTTTTAGGTTTCTTAGAGGACACACCTTTTGGGAAAGAAATAAAACGATAATTTTTATCAGTAACTGATGAAATAAGTTTGCCATTAATCTACATTTTGGTACTAAGATTTGCTACTTTTCCAAATATTCTATTTTTAGGGAGTTCCCTTTCAGAAAAGAAAGAGGATGTCACAGCCCTTTTTTACTTCTTATTCTTGTCATTCATTTACAGATGAATCATCAAGGTAAGAAGGGGAATGGATCATGAGCCTAAGTGTGGGTTTTGAACCTCTTTTCCTTTCTCTATTTCTCCACTTTTGGGAAATTATGTGCTTGTACTGGTGTGTGTGTGTGTGTGTGTGTGTGTGTGTGTGTGTGTGCGTGTAATTGTTCCCATAATGTACAACCTCATCAACCCTGTAGTTCTTCTTCAGTTGGTGGACCTAGTATGGGCAACTTCAGTGAGTTCAAGCAAGAGTAAGAGGCAGTTCTAGTGGCTCATAATGAGTTTTGGAGAAAGAAGAGCAAGTGAGCAGGGAGCACATCCATAGGCAGCCCTGGCGAGTAGAGTTTGAGAGACAACAGTGCATGTTGGGTCGTGAGAGCTAAAGATATACATAGTACATTAAAATTACTAGCATGTACATCCCTGACAAAAAATTAGCTAATGCCTTGGAGTGTCCTCATAATTCAAATTTCTGAAGTGTTATTAAGTTAAGCTTTATCATTATTCCATATTCATGTCAGAACATATGTCTGGATTTGGGAGGCAGTTTATAACTGTTAATAATAAACACTGAAATTCAGTATAAAATGAGCTCTTCATTATTTTAAATCAAAGTGGGATGGTTTGTGATAATAATACAAGTGCAGGAGTCAGAGTCACAAAATCAGGGTTCTTCTTCCTTAGGTGAACTTGGGTAAGTATCACCCTTCTAAAGGATCAATTTCATTTTTTTTCTGAGACAGTCTCTATGTAGTTCAGGCTGGCTTTGAACTCCCTGTAGGGCTCATTTTCAAGGGACGTCTCTTCTAAAGTCATGCTAGAATTTGTTTTTAAGGTAGATTTTATTTTAAGGAAAACAATATGTAGCCTAGGCTGGCCTCAGACTCACGGTGAGCCGCCTGTCTCAGCTTCTGGAATGCTGGGATTATAGGCATATGCCACTGTGCCTGGCAATTTCATCTTCTAAAATAGGGATTGTAAGTTTCATTTCTTCTTATATGATACTATATAGCTTCCAAAGTCTTCAAAAGTGACTTTTTACTTACATTATTCCATTTAATTTTTATAACAACTTATAAATTACATACAATATTTTATCCTCATTTTAAACATCTTAAGAAATTGTTTCAGGGACTTTGTTTAACCTTTTCAAGATCTTATGGGTAAACAGGAGCTGGAAATCTTTTAATGGCCTTAATAAGGAGAAATATTTGCCTTTTCTGAGAAAAGTGCACAACTCTTTGCATAGCACATTAACAGAGGTTGATAAGCATTTGATTTTATATCAGCAAAAGACGTGCTATTTTAACAAATTATGCTAAAAAGGAGATGAGCCCATTTTTTTCTAAGTAACACATTGTTCCATTAATTTTCTAATGGCTCCTAATCTGTTTACCTGTGCCATCTTCATAGTCCAGAAGCCTTGCACCTACGGAATGAGGGAAAGAGAACACCGTGATTTTTCTTCCATGTCATTAGTGGGCGTCCTGGTTTACATATGAAGCTTCTCCCAAACACTCATGTACAGTATTGAGAACTTAATCCCAGTGCAACAGTCTTCACAGGTGGGGCTTAGAGAAGTAATTGGATTATGGGGTTCTAACTTTATTAAGTGGATCAATCCATTGATGAGATAATAATCTGATGGCATTATTGGGAAATGATGGAAACAGGAGGTGAGGCCCAGTGGAAGGAATGGACCATGAAGGTGTGACCTTGGGGACTCTATCTGGAGGATATTGTAGGAACTATGGATTGTGCATAAATGGCAGAAGAGAATGGTGGTAGCTGAGTGATTATATCACTCACCAGTTTTGAAATATTACCCAGGCTAATGATAATCACAGGAGCTTCATAGTTGTTTTTACTCCTGTGCTTAGCTCCTGCTTTTTCCCCTTACTGATCTCAGGGGTGTCTTTGTTAGCAACTTTGGCATCTTTCCAGATCTTACTATGGGAAATCTGCTTTAGCTCTATGTTGAACTTGGTACTGTTCCTCGTAATCATAATCACCTTATTTGCATTCACTTTCGTCTCTCCTGGCCACAATTAGATTCTTCTGCCCTGCTCCTTTACTGACCCTCTTCACTGTTGGACTTAGACCTTCTACTGAACCATCTGCTGCAAAGAATCTGCTTCTCCAGAGGCTTGGTAACTCTGTTGCTGCTCTCTGAAACGAGCCTCAGCATCATGCAGGGATACTCACTACTGATTTATTCTGCCTAACAACATTTGGTTTTCAAGGCTATAATAAATTTCTGGTAAATTTCTCTTAGTAACTTAGAAATTCAGTTTATGGAATGATATATTCTCTACTAGGTGCTGGAAACAACGGTACACAAATTTTGTTTTTGCCTTATAAAAAAATTCATAAATTCTTACTATATTCCTTTTTCTCATGGGTATAAATACTTTGTTCTGAACTGTATCTGGGAGCATATATTTCTGTGGAAGAATTAGGCAAAGAATTTTCCTTTAATAACTTGTGAGAAACATTCTTCCCCTGACCCAACTCTCCTCATTCTAAATTATGTTTCTTTGCTTTCAAGGTGGCCTCCTGATAGTATTCACCACTGATTCTCACCTCTTCAGCATCTCCAGGCAATCTTATATCTATCCTTTCACACTAATTGCACTTTGAAGGCTCACAAGATTTTAGTGTGGGAAATAGGGTGAGGACATAGATGATTAGAAGGAAGTGGGAGAAATATTGAGAAAAGTCTGTGGGACTCTGTGACATTATAGAAAGGAGTCAGCTTTTATAAGCCCCATCTCTCCTACACTGTTAAACACTACATGTTCTGTATTTGTTTCATCATCAATCTGTGTTGTTACTAAAAGTCTCCAATTCTTTCTGTATAACATTAGATGTTGGTGTCTGTTAGCATACTGTCTTCTCAAATCCAGTTTTTAAACTTAATTTCCTTTGGAGTTCAAATAATTTTGTTTTAAAGTATTTTTATTACTCTTGCTAAATTCTCTTTGTGATTTTTTTTTTATGACAACATTGGTAACATAAACTTTGGGAATTTAACATGCAAGGAGAATTGCTAAGTTAAAGATTTTTTGACTCGTGTATTTGAAACAATTCCAGAATATTGGCAAAGTCTCTAGCTATCTGTTAAATAGAAGTAAACCCAAGACTGTATCTTGGATCCTTCCTTTTGAGATGTTGACAAGGAATCTCCATTTTGACCCAAGACTTACCATTTTGCTTGCGTCGTGTCCATCTTGTTAACAAAATAGCGAGAATGGCAAGTCCCAGGATAGTCAGGATGACAGCCAAAGCTACTTCTGAAACAAAAACCTGTATGTGGCTTATTTGGGCCATGTCATTGTCAGAGACAGCTTGTGGTTAACAGACTTTTTCCTTTTCTTTTTTTCTGCTTTTCCAACTCCTTTACTTCTTCATTATGTTACTCTCCCCACATTCCTGTCCCTGCCTATTTTTGGCTTTTGGTTATGTTCTAAGGGCTGCAATGCTGTGTGCCCTTGATTTACAGTGGGCAACATGACCAACTTCCTCCCTAATGGAGCTTCCTACTCTCAGACAAGAGAAGAGCAGAAGAGATTAGTGGCATGCAAAGCAGCCCTCTGGGGTATGAGAAAAAATTTAGAACTTATATATTTATGTAATTTTAGCTCATATGTATAAAATTTTAAATTTAAAAACATACATATTAGTTTAGCTGTACATTAATAGTATTTAGAAATATTCATATCTAGGGAATACATACTCAAAAATTTATGTGATGAGTATTCAAAAAGCTTCAGAGACTTCTAAAAGCTATTGACTGAAGCTGGTTATATGAGAAGACAGAAATTTCTCGTCACTGAGAAAGATTATTCAGTCATCATGCACCAAGTCTCTCATGATAAAATGGATATCTGTTTGTTTGTTATTGAGGTTGACAAGATAAAGCATGCTGGTGCTATTTAACCTGTGTTAATGTGTCACTGGATTGCATTTGATTGATATAGAGTCTTGGATTTACAGGAAGGGTCTTAAATAGAAACATTCTGTGCTTATAAAAAACAGAGGCTATGAGGTTTTTGTAGAAGAGTAGGGGACAAACCAAACATAAATCTATCTGTTGACAATGAAAAAGCTGAGCAATGTCAAACTCTGAAAGGGTTAAGGACGTAGATTACACCAAGATTAAAGCTACTTCAAAAAGGCAATCAACTTAACAATGTAATAATCCATGTGGCACATGCATGTAATCACAGCACTCTGGGAGGCCGAGGCAGGAGGATCACAAGTTTGAATCCTGCCTGGACAACTTAGTGAGACCTTCTCTTAAAATAAAAATAAAAAGGGCTGGGGAAGTAACTCAGAGTGAAGGCTCTGGGTTTAGCTCCCAATCAGGGCAAGTTAGGCACATGTCTAACTTGTTTTATAGACATCTGTTCATGTGAAAAGTTCACCTGTCAAGTCAGCATTCAGAAATTTGCTCCTAATGTACCTCTGAAAAACAATGAACAGAAACTCTGGTGTCTATTATGATAGGATTTTTTCCCTAACATGAGGTAACCCCTAGGGAAGGAAGAAAAAGCTAGTCAACTCAGATTACACCTCCAGAAGTAGCAGTCTCTTTCGATGGTATTAGAAATGTTTTGGCTATAGGGAAATTAGAAGATAACCTACCCTATTTATGAGGAAGAGAAGAATAAGTCACTGTTTCTCGGAGTTAAGACAGATCACAGAGTGAAAACAGTACAGAAAGGGTAATAATAGACCAAAGAATTTTCCAAGTACATACTTTGGAGGATAGTTATTTTGCGTGATCACTTCACACTCTAGAAACCAAACAATAAACTATTACTATTACCCTAGAGTTGACTAGACTATTGGCTGTTTCCTTTGGGCTCCAGAGTAATCCATGAGAATGAAATAATGGGTATAGAACTTGGAAAAAGAAGGTGAGGAAGGTAAAGCAGTTGCGTTGATGTCCCTAAGAGAAGTCTTCTGAGCCAGTAGGGTCAAGAAAGTCTCAGAGAGGAAGCTGGCCCTTACCCCAGACTGCCATTTTCCAGGTATTGCCTTCAGTGGGTTCCACATCATCTGGATTCCTTTGTCAGAGGGAAGCCAAGATAAAGCAACTCAAGCTCACTGCTTCTGAGCAGTATGAACTTGGATGTCAGGGAGGCCCTTGTAGACAGATACAGAGGGTCTCTGAGGAATTGTGTACTCGGGTCGATCAGACCTAAGCAGACTAAGGGAATGTGGCCCACGAAAGTTCTGGAATCTGTGTCGTAACAAAGCCTTAGAACTTCAAAGAGGCAAGAGGAAAGGAAGATGTAGACCAAGAGCCTGGGAAGGTTTAAGGATCATTAGGTGAACAAAGGATACTGAAAAGGAACCCACTCTATTGGACTTGAAAATAATTTGTAATTTTTTGGAGAGTCTGAGGCCAGAGATTGTGTCTCATTCATTATTGAGAAACTTTCACAAAATAAGCATTTTATAGTTTTTTTTTTTTTGGTACTGGAAATTGAACTCGGGACCTTGTGCTTGCGAAGCAAGCAGTGAAACCACTGAGCTAAATCCCCAGCTATAAGCATTTGTAAATGTCTGATGACTAAAAATAAGAATTCCTATACTTTAAAATTAAATCCTTGAAACAAATGAAAGTGAACCAAAGAAGCTAAGGTGTCAGCACTAGATGATGTGAAGACGGGGAGCTAGTGAGTGGGATTTCATAAACCAGTGTGAACAGCAGCGGCTGAACACCTTTAACCGAGTGCCTGCTAACTACAAAACTCTGTAAAGGGAATTTCCAAACACAAACACATTTCATCCCCGGTGACCTTCGTATAAAATCTTTCAAGATAGAGATACCTGAAGTTACCCAGCCAACAAATGGGAGAGTCTCTACGTCCAAAGCCAGTACCAAAGCACAAAGCCACAAAGAGAAAAGGAAGTGTAATTTTAAAATTGTACTTTTAAGAAAATTGTAGCTCTAAGACACAAAATCACCCAAAGCTACAATGTATTTTTCAGTGCTGGGCCTATTTTTCTTCAAGGCTTCTTACTTCAAAGAGTCTTAAAGATACAATAAGCCTGCATATAGGGCTTGGGCTTTTTCTTTTTTTCCTTGAAGACTATAAATCCACAGACTTCACAGACTTCACTCCTCAGGGAAACAACACTATTAATTGGGTATCGTATCTTTAAACTTAAAACACATGCAAATTATCTGCATTTTAAGGACTTTTTTTTTTTTTATACTGGGGACCTTGCACCAGGACCTTGCACACGTGAGACAAGCACGTGCCACTGAGCTCAGTCCCCGGACCAATGGTGTGCATTTTAACCTAGCTCACTGATGGCAGACACCGGGAATGCACACCCTAAATCCTTGGTCTCGAGGGTACCCGAAGAGCCCGTAACTATCTGCAGCCCCAGGCCATGATGTGCCTCCTCCTTGAGTATCCATACTCATTTCGGAATGTGTACCGCACTACTTTTATTTGGCTTAATAGACCTGTCTGTGCTTCTCACTGATGTATCCTGAATGCTCTTTCTGTGATGAGAGTCTGTGGGGGTGGGTGGTGAGTTGAGGCTCCTATATCCTCTTTAAAGGTGACCTCCTCAGACCCTGTCCAGTGACAATTCGTATTTAGCCTGCTTTTAAGGGCTAGGTTGATGGAAAGAGTGACTTAAATTTTTACATATATAAAGTTAAATTAGTAGGATTTCACTCTGCATTTTAACTGTGTTAAAACTAATCTAATACATAGATTCATTCTTAAGTATAACTTTATACAATCATTAAAACATATTGTAAGTCCAATAATAAATTCTAATGATCAGTTGTATAATTTTGATTATGTCAGTAGCATACCTTGGTTGAATTGTTAGTATTTGGTTGCATAATATCTCATGAGATACTGTTGTCAATGGGCTGGCTCTGAGAAAGTCCCTGAAGCTGAAATAAGGAACACAACTCATCCTTGTAGAATAAGTTTTCAGATTCACTAACTCTTGTTGTTGAAAAGAAATTTTTAGAATGAGTCATTGAGAGGCATGGGAAGGGTTTACAGTAGTAGGCAGAGATTTTAGCGCACCCTCGAGAGTAAACTGTGCTCAGAGGAATGAGATGTACTAATGTTGGGAACTGAAGATCTTCATGTGTTTTGGTGGTGGAAATTAATAATCTATAGTCTTTAGTCTTGTCTAAGGGGTGGAAGAGGATGCCTATTAAGACTGTTAAGTCTATTCATACATAAAATCTTAATTTACAAGTGAAAAAATGGTTTACTGATAGGTGAAAGAGGACCATTTACAAACAAAAAAAGGATTGGCTAAACCTACTGGTAGGTGGAAGAGAAATGTTCAGGCTTATTATGTTTTGGGAAAAGAGACCCCCCCCAAAAAAAACTGGACTTATGTCCTTAAGCTAGTTTTCATTTTAAAAAATATGATTTTCCTCATCTATTTTCTGCCTAGTTTTTTGTTTTTTATTTTGAGATAGGGTGTTGTTATATAGCACAAGTTGGCCTGCATCCTTCCTGCCCCAGCCTCCTCCCAAGCTCTGGGGTTATAGGCATGTTTACAGGAAACAGATTTTAGAAAAAAGTGGTCATTTTGCATTATAGCTTCCTCAGAACTCAGGAACTTAGTAGGGGTTGCTACATCTGAATTATCCTCTTCTTTGTTTCAGTACTAGGATCAAGCTCAGGACCTTGAGCTTGTGAGGTAGGTGTGATACCACTGAACTAAATCCCTGGCCCTGAACTATCCTCTTCCTTTGCATCTGCCTGATTAATCTCAAACAGGACCACATCCACTTGTATAATTTTGCTGAGGGTCCCATCACTATTTCAGTATTCAAATGACCAGTGGTAGCAGCTTCCATTTCTTAGCTTTCCACTTGCCTGGGCTATCTGTGGGAGAAAGTTCTGAACTGGGTCTAGTAATGGACTTCTTTCTACCTGAACTGTTTGAAGAGAAGAAGTTTTTCTGGAATTAGGCTTGGAGTTGATGAGCAACTTGTTCCATATACCTCCTCAGCCCTCATCTATAGTCTGCTGCAGCTCTTTGGTTGCTGACAGGTCTGAGCACCCCCAGGTAAGTGATCAAGAACTTGAAGAACTTGGGCTATGAGCTGGGGATTTAGCTCAGTGGATCCTTGCCTGCCTTGCAAGTCCAAGGTCCAGGGTTTGATCCCCGGTACTAGGGGGGGGAAAAAAAAAGAAAACAAAAAAAAGAACTTGGGTTACTATTATAGTGGCATAGTTTGCAATAGCTAAATCTTGGAAACAGCCCAAATGCCCATCAACTGGTGAGTGGATAGACTAGATAAAGATGATTTTAAAAAAATGGAGTACTACCAGCCACAAAGAGTGATAAACTAGAGACATTTATAGCTAAATGGATGCATATTGAGGCCATACTTTGTTTTGTTTTGTTTTTGTTTTTTGAGGTAGAGTCTCACTATGTAGTTGAGACTGACCTGGAACTCATTATGTAGCCCAGGCTGGTCTTGAACTCACAGAGATCCTCCTGCCTCAGCCTCCCCAGTGCTGGAATTATAGGCATGCGCCACCACACCTGGCTGTGAGGCCATACTTTGAAGTGAAATAAATAGGGCACATGTGTAAATACTGCATTGTCTCTGTGGTATGAGAAACTGAAAGTGTAAATGAGGAACAAAATGTATAAGATGTGAAATAGGAAGCAAGGGTTCAAAGGGCAAGAGGAAGTGAGGGTGGGGGAGAGGAAAGAAAGGAAAGAAAAAATCATGAGAAAAGAAAGAAAAAACAGAAAAAGTTTTTGTAAATAGGGAGGGGTGGAAGGGCGGAAGGGAGGGAAGTGGAATGGGGAAAAAACAAAAACTAAGATGTATCATGTAGAGGTACATATTCTTGATGAATGTGATCATAATGTACATCTAAAATGGACCAGTAAAGTTAATTTTAAAAAAAGAACTTGGGGAACCACGCCTGCTCCCGCCCCAGCCACCATTGCTCAAGTGCCAGGAGGAAGCCTGGGCCCCGATCCACCGCGGGAAGGAGAACCACGCCTACTCCCGACCCAGCCGCCATTGCTCAAGTGCCAGGAAGGTAGCCGCGTGGGCGCCCCTGAATCCCCATAAGCGCCCCCCTGCACTCTCAGACCTCCTGACTGTGCCAGTCTTTGGACCCACTCTGCAAAGACAGAGGTGGTCATCAAGAGTATTTTTCTGAGTTCCCAACTTTGAACATCTTTAAAGAAAGGGCGTGGGAAACCTGTAATAGAACGTTGTGGAGTTCAACCATTCAGAAGGATGGGGAACTCAATCTGGGCCTTGCAGCCCGAGGTCAGTCAGTGTCAGGGGGTTCAGCCATCAGCTAACTGAGATCAGGGGTCTTGCATCCTCGCTCTGTCTCAGCCATTAAATAGTAAATACACTATATTGAAATTTTCTTCACTGCAGACATGTTCTGGAATGCTTCTTGATTTCAATTTAATTCATATTATTTAAGGGTGATAGACTAGTGACTACCACAGGTGGTCAGTGTCCAAGTTGTGCTTGATCTTAATGTGTTGCTGATTGTATCAGTTGGGGTAAAGCATTGCCATTAATTTGATGAGCTGTTTTCTCTGATGTTATGAAGATGAGAATGTCTGTGGGTCGTTAGAGACACAGAAGCTAGGGCACAAATATATCAGGAAGATTTGGGTGATAATACAGAGATTAAACCAAGGATAGTCCGACAACAAAAATAAAAATGAGAAAACACTTAAGCAAGACACAAGGACAGACTTCCAGTTTTCCAATGGCAAACAGTAGGGCAAATGAGGATGAAAAGGCTGACAGTGAACCACCAGGACACCCTGAACTCAAAGCACAGGAAGTAACAAAACAGATCAATCAGGCTCTAGAAAAATTCAAAACAGAAATAATTTCCCAGATAACCATAGAGATAGTGAGCAAAATGGAAGTCGTGATTCGAGACTCTAGAGCAGAAACTGACAAAAAAATAGATGAGCTCAGGACCATGATAGAAGCCATGAAGGCCCAGCATAAGAAAGAAATGGAAAAAATAAACGCCCAACATAGGAAAGAAATGGAATCCATAAAACAGATTCAAACAGATATCCAGGAGATTAAACACTCCATTGAAAGTGTATGCAACAGAATAAAAGAATGTGAAGATAGAATCTTAGATATAGAAGGTAAGATTGCAGTCAGTGACCATGAAAAGAGAGGTCTCTTAAAAACAGTAAGAGATGATGAGAAATCGATCCAACAACTCCTAGATGATGCAAAGAAGAATAACATAAGACTGATAGGAATCCATGAAGTAGCAAGAGAAAATACAAATGACTTTAAAAAGCTGTTCGCAGAATTAATGACAGAAATCTTCCC